AAGTTCGACTAACTCCTTGATATATCAAGGAAGGCGTAGTATACTTAGCCATTGAAACCAGAGGGTTCAGTAAAGTGACTCGTCTCAGTACTTTAAAGTACTGAGGCTTCTGGGGCACTATGGTATAGTACTGTGCTAGTAAAAGTGCGCAATGCTGGTTTGTGGGTATAGTACTTTTGCTCGTTGTAGTACTTTCTGCTGGTATAGTACTTTTCGCTTGTTTAGTACTTTCTGCCAGCCTAGTACTTTCTGTTGCCGCAGTATTTTCTGCTGGTGTAGTACTTTCCACCCTCGTAGTACTTTCTGTTGGCGTAGTACTTTTCATCGGTGTAGTACTTTCCACCCTTGTAGTACTTTCTGTTGGCGTAGTACTTTCTGCCCTTGTAGTACTTTCTGCTGGCATCGTACTTTCCGCTGGCATCGTACTTTCTGCCGGCATAGTGCTTTCTGTCGACATAGTACTTTCTGTCGGCGTAGTACTTTCGGTCGACATAGTACTTTCTGCCAGCGTAGTACTTTCCGTCGGTGTAGTGCTTTTCGCTCATGTAGTACTTTTCGCTGGGGTAGTACTTTCTTGTCAGTGTAGTACTTTTGCTGGGATAGTACTTTCTTCTGGTGCAGTACTTTTTGCCAGTATAGTACTCTTGGTCGGTGTAGTACTTTTGGTCGGTGTAGTACTTTTGGTCGGTGTAGTACTTTCTCCTAGCATAGTACTTTTCATGGACGCAGTACTTTGACTTCTAGATCTGGCCCAGGCTCAATTAATCTCTGGATCTGTGCTTTGATTTTAGATCACTGATCTTGATCTAGGAATATGGGCAATGTTACCGGGCTGTGTGGCAAAAGTATGTTCAATCTGGATGTGGCCCAACTTTCTGAGACCGGGATGGTGTCCTGGGGTGCTGGATAGGGGGTAGGAAAATGGGTAGGGGGTGGGGGTAGATGGGTAGCAGGCTGGTAGGGCGCTGTATACATGGATTGGGTGGGTTTTGGCTGGATTTCGGGTACTGGGGACGATACTGGGTGTGCTGGGGTAGTATTAGGTGCGATAAAAATCCGGGAAAATAGGGAAATAATAGTAGGGATGCTAGGGTAGGCCTAGCAGGTGCTGGTTTCTGGTTTGTTAGGGGGTTAGT